CTTTTGCGTTAGTTTCTTTTTTGCGTCCCGGATTGCATATTTCAGAACACGATATACAATGTTTCCCTACACCCATTTGTCTGTCGTAGGTGACGCATTGCGCACGCGCTCCGTCTCAGCTTCGTCGCTCTCCGCTGACGTCTGCACCCTGGTTGCGGTCGTGGACATCAAACGTTGAATCATCATGCTTAATCACTGATGCTCCGTCGATTACTTCTTTCACGCTTTGTCTTCGTACACCGTACTCTGGATCATAATCACACGGTAGTCGTGAGTCAATACTGATCTCGCCTAGACTCTTCGCGGCTTCTCTGTCCGCGTCATCTGCATGAGTGTCGCCGCGTGGAGAGCTGGCAGAGGTGTGTTCCCTCTCCGCCACACCGCCACTTTTTCGAGATGGACGCCCTTGCCCGCTGCGACCGAACCCTTGCCGAGGCGTGATTTGCTTTCCGTGTTTAGAAATTTGCAGCTCCGGTTTTTCCTATGATAGTTTGTGTTTTCATCAGGGATACACACACACACACACGCACACACACACACACACACACACACACACACACACACACACACACACACACACACGCACATGCATACACACGCACCTGGCTGGACGTTGATCGCCAGGGCGAGCAGCCCCAGAAGCACCACGGCCAGCCGTGCTGACGGCCGACTGCCGCTGCCACACGCAGAGAACGCCATCGCCAACATCGCCGTGCTATGTGTGCGTTGATGTGAAATGGCAAAAAGCGGTCTTCTTGTGCGTTGCTTGCTTGCTTGCGAACGCGTTTACAGACATGAGGGGCGAAATTTCTTTCAGTGGGTGGCGAATGCAGCAAAGCCTAGCTGCTCGCGCCGGGAAATTTGAAATGTCGAAGAAGGAAGACACAAGCAAGCGAAGGAAGAGGTTTGCACGCACACACACACACACACACACACACACACCCACACACACACGCACGCACACACACACGCACGAGATAACGCTGCCGCCCTGTGTTCCTCTTCACACATTCTTGTTGGCCTGCTAGGTCTTTGCCTTATCGTCACTGCTGCTGCTGCTGCTGCTGCTGTTGTTGTCGTTGCTGTTGCTTCCCTTTTCATCGAGGTGCCGCCGCACGAGGCGCTCCAACCGGTCAATATGGTCATCGGGGTGATGTGGCGCAATCTCCCGCAGGGCATGCGCAAGGTTCAGCAGACTGCAATGGTTGTGGTTGTGTGTGCACGTGTGTGTGTGCGTATGTGTTTGTATGTGTGTTTGTATGTGTGTGTATGTGTGTGTGTGTGTGTGCGATGCACGTGTTGACGTGAATGGGTGAGAGTCGCTGTACTGTGAGTCTGTCGTCACGCACACACACACACACACACACAACACGCGCACCACGCGACTCACTATTCGGAGTTGGGACCGCTTGGGCCGACGGAGGTGGCAATCACTCTGGCAATCTCCTCCTCATCGCGCACACCTGGCCCAAGTGGAAGCATGGACATGAGTACACGCTGGGTCTTTGTGTGTACACCTTTCTTGCAGCGTGCTGCTAATTTGCTGGTGCTCAAATACACACACACATTCGCACACGCACGCCCGCTCGCACGCACACACACAGGTGTACACACACATGTATGCGTACATGCGCAAAGGCCACCATCACAGCACCACACACCAGTAAACTGGGGGTTGTCCTCGGTGCCGACGTAGACGAGGCAGTTCAAGGACGAGGTGCCAACATTGTCAACGTGTTCCTCATGCACCACCGCCTCCACAACCTGGCGACAAAAGGCCGAGATGGGAACCAATGGACACACATCATCAGTGCAGGGCCATACGTTAGAAACAGCCACCATACGCACACAAGCTCACCGACAAACATGGGTACACATCGACAGGTTGATGCGAAAGCACAATGTGACACCAATGCAGAGCATGCGCAAGGGTTGCCCCTGTGTGTGTGTGCTTGTCTTATCGGTCAGGCTCTCTTTCTCCTCTCCTGCTTCTTCTCCCTTGCTCCCTCGTTCTCTCAATCCCTTACACGCACACACACGCACACACACGCACACACACGCACACACACGCACACACACGCACACACGCACACTCTCTCCCTCCCCCTCCCTCCCTCCCTCCCTCCCTTCTTCGCATACAGCTCTTGTTCTGACCTGGGTTTTGTAGCCGCCCTTCTCGCGATAGTCGAGGTGCGCCATAATGTCATCTGCACGGTCCGAGTGTATCCTGTACGCCACACCCCACACCCTATCGTGCTCGTTCTCGCTTTCCATCAACGTGACAACCCGCCCCGGCGCGCCTGCACCAGCACAAAAAAGGAATGAATAGCGCACCATTGCGGGGGGGGGTGAGTGTGGCAGAGGAGCAAGCGTGGATTCCACGCTGAGGTCATTAACCAGAACCACGAAACACCGCATCGCGATGTGCAAGCGACCAACCCCGAACACACGACCCACCTTGTCCACACTCATTGTTACAACACAACACCCGCCGCCGTTGTTTTCACACACACATGCACGCACACGCACACACACACACATGCACACGCACACACACACACACACACACAGACCTGGGACACCTCGATGGTCTTCTGAGAATTGGTAGAACCGTCGCACGTAGCCCTCAATGAAGCACGGCACCGCCTCCCTTCACCAATACAATGCACACCAGTGAGACATGAACGAGTGTGCAAAACACAAGGCACGACGACGAAACGAACCACGACAAACAACGCTGTGGTGCTGCTTACTCGTGTTCAAAGCCGACTTTCCAGGTAAGGCTGCCGTAGCCAAACACCCACAGGGGGTCGGGCCACTTTCCGCTGTCTCCCCCCTCGTTTGCCTCGTCGCGCTGGCCCGCGTTGCTGCTCATCACGCCGATGCCGCTAACGCTATGCTGCTGCTGCCTTCTTGTTGTTGCGCGTTCCTCCTCGTCTGTCTGTCTTTTTACTCTGCACTCCTGTATTCTATTCTTGCCATGAATTTGATGCGAAAGTAATTTTTCTGCAACGGCTTCGTTGGAGACGGAGCACAGCCACCAAAACACACCAACGCAGCCACAAGCCAAGCAGACGAGCCCACTGCTGCTGGCTGCTGCTGCATCTGAGAACGACTGGCGTGCGTGTGAGCGGCGCAGGAAGCGCGGGAGGGAGTGAGACACTTGCACACACACACACACAGAAAGAGAAGTAGCAGGAAGAGTGCACAGGGCGGTGTACAGCTACAGCACACAACAACGAACAACGCAAGCAGCGTGAACTGCTCAGGGTTCCATCACCGCGACACACACCACAACAACACACACACACACATACCGTAAGTCATGCAGTTGCGGCACTTGCAGACGGTTGTGCCGGCCGTTGAAGGCACCAACAAGGTCACCGCCATGGCATGGAGCCCAAACAACGTCAAGCTCGCCGTGGTCACCGTCGATCGGGTACGTACGTGCCTTGTGCTGGCTCCCTCTGTTTTGCTTCGCCTCCACTGCAGCATGCGCTCGCATCCGCTCTCCTCCACAACAACACCCTGGACATGCAAACACATGCACACACCAACATACACACAAACACATGCAAACACCAACATACACACAAACACATGCAAACACATACACCACACACATGCACGCGCGTGCACACGCACTTACACACGCTTAACACGCACGCACGTGAACAACTTTGATTGTCAACCCGTTCTATGCCATCGCATTGTGTTGTGCGCTAATGTCACGTCGCACCACGCGTCACGCCACTCCAGGTTGTCATTCTCTTTGATGAAAACGGTGACAAGCAAGACAAGTTCTCAACAAAGCCGGCAGAAAGCGGGGTGAGACCCACAGCCATGTGCTCTGACCTGTCGCTGCTTGAATTCTTTCCACGTGTGTGACGTTACTGTATTGAGTCACAGTGCTGTATTGAGTGACCAGTGCATACACAAACATTAGCACATGCCCACTAAAACACGTACGCACACATATATATATACACACAGGGTCCCAAGACGTATGTGGTCAAGGGGCTGGCGTGGTCGCCAGACTCGTGCAAGCTCGCTGTTGCACAAACAGACAAGATTGTCTTCGTGTACAAACTCGCCCAACCAGAGCGCGCAGCCGAGTGGTACGTGGTGTTGCGTGTGTGTTGTGTTTCTGTGTCTGTGTGTCTGTGTTGTGTGTGTCTGTGTGTGTGTGTGTGTGTATGCGCTCCCGCCATCGTGTTCATCTGTATTGCGTCGATGCGTATGTCCTACTCTCTTCCTCTCCCCTCGCCTTTCTCTTTCTCCATCACTCTCTCGTACTCATTTTCACACTCACATGTGTTTGTGTGCTGCAGGGACAAGAAGAAATCCATTTGCAACAAGTTCCTGCAAACGGTGAGAACCCATGATCCGCACCTATTGTCGCACATGCCCCCTGATTTGTGTGCTCAGACACACACACACACACACACTCTCTCTCTCTCTCACTGTTTCTCTGTGCCTCGCTGCCGGTTTGCTCACGCGTGTGTTCGGGCGATCTCTCTGCGGCCTACAGTCGCCCGTCACGTGCCTCGCGTGGCCCGCCGCACACCAGAACACCGTCGTGTACGGCCTCGTTGACGGAAAGGTAGCACGCGCGATGCTGTGCGTGTTTGTGGCAGAGACAACCACTGCATTCCTGTCTGCTGTAGGCTGCTCGACTCTTCTGTGTCTCTCTCTGTCTCGCGTGCCCAATGTGTCCTGCACATGTTCCCATACACACACACCCTTCCTTTGCTGCGTGTCAGGTGCGCATGGGCAACTTGAAGAACAACCGGTCCCAGTCGCTCTACCCAACGGGATCCCCATGCCTCGCCATCGCTGCCAGGTGAACACCGCAGTACTAGCTGTGTGTATGTGTGTGTGTGTGTGTGTGTGTGTGTGTGTGTGTGTGTGTGCGTGTGTGTGTGTGTGTGTGTGTAACACCTTGTAATGATTGCAACTTGACTTCTTCACTTGACACCGTTGCTGACACGTCTCATCCTCGCAACACATGCTCGCCCCCACCGCCACCGCCACCAGTCCTGACGGGCAGAACATTGTTTCCTCGCACGCCGACGGAAAACTTTACCGCTACTCACTCGAAGACAACGGTGGGTATGCGCCCTTGGCTGCGCATGTGTGTGTGCGTGTGTGCGTCTGTGCGTCTGTGTTTTTGCGTGTGAAAATCTGTCTCTGCGTGCGTGCGTGCGTACGTGTGAATGTACGCACGTGTATGTGTGTTTTTATGCTCTCGCAATTTCAACTCCACTGATGAACCTGTCTTTCGTGTGACATGTCTTTCGCCTCAATCATGTGTGTGTGTGTGCAGGTCGTCAGGGCATCCTGTGCAAGCACCCTGTGCCCGTGTATGCGCTGGCGTGGGGCGAGACCATCATGGCCGCAGGAAGCGACATGCGCGTCGTCTTCTACAACGAAAACGGTGCGTGCTGCTCGCATGCATGCGTGATGTGAACTGTGTGTTTTGTGTGTGTGTGTGCTGTTGTGTGTGCGTGTTGTGTGGTGAAGCACGCGTCTTGCATATCCATCGCACATGCCCTTCCATTTCTCCACCCCAACCACGCCACCACCACCACCACCACCACCAACCAGGGCGGGTGGTGCAGCACTTTGAGCACGGCGAGGAGGAGGGCGAGTCCGACCCCACCACCGCCGTCGTCAGCCCGAGTGGCCAGAGCATCGTCGTTGGCTCGTGCGATCGCCTGCGCGTGTACAACTACAACATCCGCCGCTCAAAGTGGGACGCGTCGCCACCGAAGACGATTGAGAACCTGTACACCGTCTCCGCCCTCGCGTGGAAGCCAGACGGCAGCAGGCTCGCCGTGGTCAGTTGCCCTGCTTGTGGCCCGGGGTGGTGGTGTGATAACTGTGCGAATAATTGTGCTGGTGTGACAATTGTGGCGTTGAAGATGGCGGTTTGATGTGGTCGGTGTGACTGACGCATGAGTGTGGTTTCGGGACCATAATGTGTGTGATGTTGTCCACTTGTGCCTTTACATGCACGCAATCGTTCTCACCACACACACACACGCACACACACGTACGTTTGACCATCAGGGCAACCTGTGCGGTGCCGTTGAGTTGTTTGAGTGCTGTCTCAAGCGCACCCTCTACAAGGGCAAGTTTGACTTCACCTACGTCGGGCCCTCACAAGTGCGTGAAAATATGCCTCTGCTTGTGCATGTGTGTATGTACAGCTCTGTGTGTTTGTTTGTGTGTGTGTGTGTGTGTGTGTGTGTGTGCAGCTGTGTGTGTGCAGATGTGTGTGTTTGCTTGTTGCGTGCATCTGCCTCTGGAGTGTGTGGCGCAGTTGTTTGATGCCTTCCGTTGCGTCCCATCCTCACCTGCAATCATCATCACCATCATCCACCAACGCTGCGTGCAACTGGGCACCCGCTCAGGTGATTGTGACGAAGCTTGCGACCGGCAGTCGCATTGTTCTCAAGTCGCACTACAACTACGAGATTGAGAAGATCAACGTGCTCGGCAACGACCAGTACCTCGTCGGCCATACAAACGGTCAGCACCTCGCAACGACAGCGGAGGAAGAGAGCGAATGGTGCTGGTGACCATGTGTGTGCGTGCGTGCCGTGTTTGACTTCCCCGTTCTTTTCACACTTTTTCAGCAACAACCGGTCGACTTACACATGCCCCTCGCAAACCACCTCTTCCCCCCCCCCATCTTCAAATCCATCCATCTCCACCACATTGGATGCAGAGACGCTGCTGATCGGGGACCTTGCGACGTGCCGCCTGAGCGAGGTGCCGTGGCGCTTCTCCGGCAACGAGAAGTTCTACTTTGAGAACCCAATGTGCGCCCTCATCTTCAACGCGGGCGAGCTCACCGTCGTCGAATACGGCAACAATGAGGTGCCGGCGTGTTCTGCCGTTGTGTGTCTGTCTGTAAGTGCGTGTATGTAAGTGTGTGTGTGTGTGTGCATCTGTCTGTACTTGCGTGTGTATGGTTGGGTGTGTGCCTGTGTGTGTCTGTGTGTCATTGAACCCGCCTTTTTTTTTTTTTCACTCAGCTCCCCGCTCCCATCTCACCATCCTGACGACATCCTGACGACATCCTACCCCCAAATCCCCTCCCCTCCCCCCCCCCTTCTCTCTCTCTCCTGCTCTCACCAGATCCTGGGCAGTGTGCGCACGGAGCACATGAACCCGCACGTGCTGAGCATTTGCATTGGAGGCCGCACTTCCACGCCGACGGAGGACAACAAGAAGATGGCGTACCTCATTGACGCGCGCACCGTTGTGCTGATGGACCTGACCAACGGGTCCACCATCGCGACCATCGAACACGACGCAAAGGTCGACTGGCTCGAGCTCAACGAAACAGGTGAACACACACACACACACACACACACACACACACACACACTTACACATGCAGGTGGTCCGGCTGCTGTGTGCGTTCGTGTGTGCATGTGCATGTGCATGTACACGTGTGTGGACTCTTCTGCGGACGTGTGTATACGCGTGTGAGTGTTGTGCGATGTATGGAAGACGGACACCTCGCTGCATTCGCTGCTTTGCCCCCTACTCACGCACATTTGCACACTTGCTTCACCATCACACTTCAAACCACACCACCACACTTCAAACCACACACACACACACACACCACCACCACCGCCACCACCAACACCGCTCGTGTCACTGCAGGGCGCAAGTTGATGTTCCGGGACAAGCGGCGCCGGCTGTTCCTGTTTGACATTGCGACAGAGGAGCAGCACGCTCTCCTCAGCTTTTGCTCATATGTCCAGTGGGTCCCAAACTCCGACGTCATCGTCGCTCAAAACCGGTGTGTAATTGCGGGTGTGCGTGTATGTACTTGTGCGTGTGTGTGCGTGTACTTGTATGTGTGGGCGTGAGAGCGCTCTTGTGCCTGTGTGTGTGTGTGCACATGTATTATGCACGTTCTCATATGGTTTTCTGTGCGCACAACTATGTGTGTGCGCCTTTGTGTCTGCGTGCAGCAACAACCTGTGCGTGTGGTACAGCGTTGACCACCCCGAACGCGTCACATCATTCGAAATCAAAGGTGCAGACATGCAACCACACGTTGTGGCTGGAAGTGGCAAACGACAAACCACGTGTGCACTCACACACACACACTCACACACACTCACACTCACACTTACACACACACTCTCTCTCTCTCTCTCACACACACACACTCTCACTCGCACTCACACACACACGCACTCACGCACACACACTCACGCACACGTGCGTGTTCAGGCGATGTTGAGGACATTGAGCGCGTGGACGGGCGGACGGAAGTGCTGGTGGACGAAGGGGTGAACCAGGTCGCGTACACGCTTGATGAGGGCCTGATTGAGTTTGGAACAGCAGTGGAGGATGGGGACTACGTGCGCGCCGTCGCTTTCTTGGAGACACTCGACACCTCGTCCCCAGAGAGCAAGGTCCGAGTGCTGCGTCGTTGTTCTGTTGGACGCGCACACACACACACACACACATACACACACACACACACGCACGCACGTGTCTGCTCCTTTGCGTGTATGCGCGGTTGCATTGATTGACCGAGGGCTGGCGTACGCACGTGTTGTCGTTTGTTATGGGGCCACTTTGCTCCGTCTGCTGATGCAATGAGACCAATCATTGTAAGTCGCCACTCACCGCCATCGTGAATCCACCACCCCCCCCCTCTCGCCAACTGCGCGCCATCTCCGCAGGCCATGTGGTCGACACTGGCGCAGCTGTCGCTCAATGCTGAAGAACTTGTTGTTGCCGAGCGCTGCTACGCTGCCCTGGGCAACGTTGCCAAGGCGTCCTACCTGCACCGCGTGAACGAGGAGGCGCGTACCAATGGTTCACAGAGCTTCCAAGTGCGCGCCAAGATGGCTGCCCTCAACCAGCACTTCAAGCTGGCGGAAACAATCTACCTCGAACAGGGCGCTGTCGACCAGGTGCCGTTCCTTTGGGGGGGGAGGGAGGTGGAAATGGCGTTTGTTGCGGGCATTGCTGATCGCTGTGTGTATGTGTGTGTGTGTGTGTGTCTGTCTGTCTGTCTGTCTATGGTTGTGATGGCGTTTCATTCGCGCGTCTTCCCCTACTTCCACCCACTCACACACACACACACACACACCACCTTCCTCTCCTTTACTCAACCCAACGTGTGCGCAGGCCATGTCGATGTACCAGACGCTGCACCAGTGGGACCAGGCCATCGCCGTTGCCGAGTCGCGCAACCTGCCCGAGCTCCACGACATGCGCAACAACTACATGACATGGCTCATCGAGACCGGCCAGGTAACGTCGGCGGTGGGGAGGGGTTGCTTGCTTGCTGGCCTGCTGGGATGGGATGAGTGCCACTTGTTCGTGTGTCGATCATGCTGGCGTGCCCTCGCCTGTGAATGGTCAGAACTGACTTGTTCGTTACATCCCCCGCTCATTCTCTCTCGCTGTTGCTGTTGTGTCCGTAGGAGGAGCAAGCTGGCAAGGTGAAGGAGAGCGAGGGCGATTTGCACGGCGCCCTCGGCTTCTACATGAAGGCCGGTCTCCCAGGACGGTGAGCACTTGCTGCTTCTGCTGCTGTTGTTTGATTGTGTGTGTGTGTGTGTCTGTCTGTCTGTCTGTTTGTCTGTCTGTGACTTGTCTGTTTGTCTGTTTGTTTGTCTGTGACTTGCTTGTCTGCGTACATGTGTATCACAAGTCAGAGTGTACAGGTCACATCTCGCTGATTCTCAACCTCACAATCACCCACCGCCATCCCCACTGTCGCCAGCGCTGCCAACCTTGTGATGCAGCACCCGGAGCTTGCGCAGGCGCAAGATGTTGTGAGCCGCGTGTCGAGTGCCCTCATGAACGCGTCGCTGTACGAGACGGCCGGGCAGCTGTTTGAGCGCGCACAGCTCACCTCCCGCGCCCTCGAGGCATACAAGAAGGGTGAGGGTCTTGGCTTGCTTGGCTTCTTGCTCGCTGAAGTTGGAGTTGTGTTTGTTGTGTATTGTATGTATGCTGAGGTTTTGTTGCAGGCTGTTGCGTCACTTCTGTGTGTATTTCACTTTTGCCTCCCATTGCCAATGCCATGAACATCTTACACACACACACATACATACATACATACATACATACATACATGCTCTCACACACACACACTCACTCACTCACTCACTCACTCACTCACTCACTCACTCACTCACACACACACACACTCACACACATGCACGCACACACGCCTCCTGCGTTGTGCTGTGTGCATGCAGGCAATGTGTACGGGCGTGCGGTCGAGCTGTGCCGGGTTGCGTTCCCCAACGAAGTCGTCACCTTGGAGGAGCAGTGGGGCGACTACCTTGGTATGCAAACGCACGCACGCATGCATGACATGCTTTGAGCACACCGGATGCGTCTTCTGTACGTCTTCAACACGTTCGTCGTTGCCCCTGATTGGTCAACATGCTTACCTTGTTGAACAACACCCCTGTCCACTCACTCTCTCCCGACTCCACCGCTACACGTGCGCAGTTGCGCAGAAGCAGCTAGACAGCGCCATCCCGCACTTTATTGAGGCCGGCCGCATGGAGAAGGCAATTGAGGCTGCAATCAACGCTCGCCAATGGACAAAAGCGGCGCAGGTATTGTATCCACCCTTGCTCCCGCCCTGCACACACACGCGCGCACACACACACACACACACACACACACACACACACACACACACACACACACACACACACACACACATGCGTTCTCTCTTCCTCTTCCAGGCGCCATCCCTGTTCCTTTAACACCCCATTCCTCGCCAATCACCAACCACCACCACCACCACCACAGATTGTTGACATGCAGGAGGAGGCGGTCGCGCGGCCATACTACAAAGTGCTCGCCGAACACTTTGCCTCCGTCCGCGATTTCTCAAACGCAAAGAAGTGCGTGTGCGTGTGTGTGCGTGTACGTGTGCGTGTGCGTGCGTGTGCGTGTGCGTGTAATGATGACGCCCTGCTGATGCTTGGAAGATGTGTTGATCTCTGGCGCTGGCATTCACACACATACAATGCACACTTGATCAGCCAGTACTCACATACATGCACGCGCACACGACACACGCACTGCTGCAGGTACTACATCAAGAACCGCACGCCCAAGGCTGCGATTGAGATGTATGTTGCTGCGGGCAAGTGGGACGAGGCGCACAAGCTCTCGAACAAATACATGCAGAAGGAGGACGTTGCTGACATGTACCTCGACAAGGTGCGCTTCGCGGCGCTGCGCTGCAGAGGGATGTGTGTGTGTGTGCCTGCTGTGTACATGTGTGTGTCTACTGTGTGTGCATGTGTGTATGGTTGCGTACGTTCAGTGTGAAGGTGTGAAGCCCCATTTTGGCCTCTCACTCATAACACACATGCACACATCCACGTTTGCCAGGCTGGCGAGCTTGAAGGGCAGCACAAGTACAAGGAGGCCGAGAAGCTGTACATCTCTGTTGACGAGCCTGATTTCGCCATCAACATGTACAAGCGCATTCGCCAATACGACGATATGGTGCGCACTCGCTCGCAGGAGCAGGGCAGAGAGGAGGGTGCAGGGGAGGGGAGACAGAAGGGAAGAAGTGTGTGCAGGGCTGAATGGGGGCGGGGTGAATGCTCAGCGACTGCGGAAGGAGTGCACTTGTGCACGTTACTTGCACGTGATCGAGACGGTTGTCTTTGACAGCACCAGTCCACACTTCTTATTGCTCATGTTCTTCTTGTTGCTGCTGTTGGTGTTCTGACTGTCGTTGTCGGCAATGGCGTTCCGATGCCTGCAGGTTCGACTCATCAAGCAGTACCATCCAGATTTGCTCAAGGATACACACATGCACCTTGCAAGCGAACTCCAAGGTCCCACCTATGTGCATTGTTTCGCCTGCTATGCGGGCCGCTTTGCTTGTTGCTCCTCTTCAATTATTCATGTGTGTCTCGTGCTGCTCACACAAACACACACTAAAACAAACAAACACACGCACTCAAACAAACAAACACACGTACACGCACACACGCACGCACGCACATCAACTTGCGTGACCATTAGAGGAGGGCCAGCTGGCGCAGGCGGAGACGCACTTTGTCGAAGCGGACGACTGGCGCAGCGCAGTGAACATGTACCGTGGAGCCGACATGTGGGACGATGCATACCGCGTCGCAAAGGCACACGGCGGCCAGAACGCAGCACAGCAGGTCTGATAGCGTGCGACTTGTTTGTTCGTTTGTTTGCGTGTTTGTGTGTGTGTGTGTGTGTGTGCGTGCGTGTGTGCGCGTGCGTGTATGTGTGCGTGTGTGCGCGCGCGCGTGTGCGTGTGTGTGGTGCACTGCCACAAATGTTGCTTTTGCCTTTCTTCGCCAGTGAGCACAGTTTTATGTATGCACACGCACACACTCACTCACCCCTCCAAATGCTCGCATCAATCCACACCACACTTTGTTGACATCAGGTGGCCTACCTGTGGGCGAAGAGCCTTGGCGGCGACAGCGCTGTGAAACTCCTTGTGAAGCTCGACATGGTGTCTGTTGCCATTGACTTTGCGTGCGATCAGAGCGCGTTTGACTTTGCCTTTGAGCTGGCACGCTCGGCAGCCAAGGAGCGGCTGAGCGACGTGCACCTGAAGCACGCCATGCACTTAGAGGACGAGGGCATGTTCAAGGAGGCTGAGGAAGAGTTTGTGCGTGCAGGCAAACCGAAAGAGGCGGTGCTCATGTATGTGCACGCACAGGACTGGGACAGCGCTCAGGTGTGTGTGTGTGTGTGTGTGTGTGTGTGTGTGTGTGTGTGTGTGTTGTGTGGTGTTGTGTGGTGTTGTGTGTTGTGTGTGGGTGCGTGTGTGTGTGTGTGTGTGTTTGTGTGCATACTTGTGCACCATGTACGCCCGCTCATTTGCTTCTTGCGAGAATAAGCTCCAGCAGCACCCAATGTCATATTCCTCTTTGCATCTCACCCAAGCCCAATGCCCCCCGTTCCACCAAACCAACCTCCCCTCCCCCTCCCAAACACGATTCAGCGTGTTGCTGAGGGCCATGATCCGGACAGCATCTCCGATGTGCTGGTGGGCCAGGCCCGAGTCGCCTTCCAGAACCGCGACTTTGCGGCTGCAGAGACGTTCCTGCTGCGGGCAGACCGCCCCGAGCTCGCCGTGCGCTACTACAAGGAGGCAGACATGCTGCAGGATGCACTTCGCCTCGCCACGGAGTACGTGCCAAGCAAGGTGCCGGAGATCAAGGCACTCATTGCCAAGAAGGGGACACCCATGCCTCCAGGCACGCACGGCGATGACGTCATGGAACGCGCGCGCATGCTGGAGGCGAGCGGGCAGCACGCCAAGGCGGTTGAGGAGTACCTGAAGGTGACGCCGGAGAGCGTGCGCGACGATGACGTGGTGGAGGAAGCGTGCGAGAAGGCGGCTGAGCTGGCGACCAAGTTTATCCCGGCCAAGGCAGCGGATGTCGTCACCACTGCATGCAGGAGCCTCGTCACAATCGGTCAGTGGGGCATTGAAGCGGCCTCGTTGCGTGTCGTTTGGCGTAATGGAGGGAAGGGGGTGATTGCGCTGCCTCTCATGCATGTTTCATCCATGAGGTTTCAATATGTATTCCCACCCACTCGCACAAAACTGACATCCCCTGTCCCTCTCCTCTTTGAATCTATCCTATGCCCCTGCTTACTGCTCGTGCGCTGCCATCATTATCACCATCACCACCAGGGCGGTACGGGGTGGCTGCGGACCTGTTCCTCGGCATCGACATGCTGCGCGAGGCAGTGGAGACGTGCATGGCAGGCAACCTGTGGGACCGCGCAAAGAACCTGGCAGACGGCGACGACGACCTCGCTGCATATGTGCAGGAGCGTTACGAGGAGCACCTCAAGGAGACGGGCGACCCCACCCGGCTGGTGGAGGTGAACGTGATTGCAGCGCTGGACATGTATGCGCAGCAGCGGCAGTGGGAGCGGTGCATGGCGGAGGCAGAGAAGCACGGTGGGCAGGTGCTGAACAAGTACGCGGCACTGTACGCAGCAGACCTGCTGGACCAGGGCGATGTGGTGCACGCACTGGGCGTGTTCAAGCAGCACGGCGCGCCGTCCACGCCGAACAACTTCAACCTCTACCGCAAGCTCACGCTCGATGTGCTCAACGCACCGCACGTGTCTGGGTATGGCGTGTACGCGGACCTGCGTGACGTGCTCGCTGGCGTGTGCACGGGCCTCTCTGCACCGCAGCACGGGCAGGGCGTGGTGGACGAGTTTGACCGCCTCACGCGCATCTGCCACTACATGGCGCTGAAGAACGCGTGCAAGGACGTGGGGGAGCTTGCAGACCTCTTCACCAAGCTCAACGTGGCGCTGCTGCGGTACACGGACACGGTACCCGCCGACCGGGCGTTCTACGAGGCCGGCATGGCGTTCAAGGACCAAGGGCGCGACAACATGGCGTTTATGCTGCTGAACCGCTTCCTGGACCTCTCCGAGGCAATCGAGGAAGGCGACCTGGATGGCCTCGACAACACGGATTTCGTGGACACGGACATACCGTTTGAGATTCCGCTGCCGGATGCGCCAAGCATTGCGGAGGACGAGCGGGAGGAGATCAAGGACTGGGTCCTCGCCGTCTCCATGGACCAGCAGATTGACCAGGTGCCGTGCATGTGTGTATGTGTGTTGTGTCCTGCGTTCGTGTGTGTGTGTGTGTTGTGTGCTGCGTGCTGTGTGTGTGTGTGTGTGTGTGTGTGTGTGTGTGGTGCCACCAAAGATGGATATCCTGCCTCACCTTTGAATGTGCCTCCCTCCTCAACGTCTCATCCCCCTTCCCCTCCCCCACCTCTCACCCTGCAGGTGCTTGAGAAGGATGAGCGCGGTGTCTTTATTGGCACGCTGGTTGACAAGATGCACAACAAGACCTACCAGCCCTGCGTCATCTCAGGATTCCCCATCCTTGGCGCCGCCGTCGACATGGACGACGGAAAGGTACGTTGTATGTGTGTATTTTGTGTGTGTGTATTTTGTGTGTGTGTGTGTGTACTTGTACGTTGTGATGCGTGCACGTGCTGGATGAGATGATCTCACCACCACCTAATCTTCCACCATCATCAACAACAACAACAACAACAACAACAACAACAACAACAACAACAACAACAAATGCGCAGGTTGCGTCGCGTGAGGATTGGAACAAGTTTGTCATGGCGGTGAAGACGCTGCACAACGATGATCTGTCGGATGTGCTTCGCTTCCTCAACACCTGGTGTGGCGCTCCCGCCAACCCCTCCTACGCCTTTTAGCCTTCTGGCCCTTGCTCTGCTGTGCTGCTGTACATGTCTCTGTGTGTGTGTGTGTGTGTGTGTGTATGCGTGTGTGTGTCTGTGTCTGCGTCTGTCTGTGTGTGTGCGTTGTTCTGCTTCATCAACTTCCATCTTGCCTCTTGTCCCATTGCAGAAATACATGTTTTGCCGTGTGCGATTATTGTGAGAGATTTCCATACATTTTCTTGGATGTGAAGCGCGCAAAGGCCAAACCGTCGTTTGGAGGCTGCTTGTGGTGTTGTTGTTGCTGTTCTGTTGTGAGACGGCGGGAGAGCGCGAACAAGCAGGCCAGAGCACGAGCAGACAGACAACCCCAGACAAGCACACAGCGCGGTTGTGGCGGTTGCTGCTGCTGTTGTCGTCGTTGCTGTTGATTGGAATTGGCAGCGATCCCGTTGGTAGCTGTGTGTCTGGCGGGTGATCCCCCGCTGTCTGCATTGAGACAGTGTTGCGCAGCCGCCTTTCTTTGGTGAGTGGCTGAGCGAAATCGTGGTGGAGTTGTCCGTTCTATGCGGTGCGTTGAAGTGGTGGTGTTCGTGTGTGGAGTTTGCGCGAACGCTGCGTGGACGATCCCTTTGTTTAACAGTGCTTCGTTTGATGTTGTCACGGGTTCTGTTGGAGCGGGGGGCCTGCTTGCTTGCTTTGCCCTCTCGCGCTTTGCATGTGTGTTGTGCATGTGCGTTGTACATGGGTGGGCGATGTTGTTGTGGGTGGAATCGTGCAGCGTGTCGTGTTTCTGTACCGTCGCACAACCTCACTCATCACCGACACCATTATCACGGACACGATTTCTTGTGTGCAGGGAAAGGAAAGATGGGCGCCTTCCGCAGCAAGCCGGCTGTGGAAAAGGACATTGAGGCCGGCGTTGATCAGCATGGACGATCCTTCATCTGCGGATCCATGCAAGGCTGGCGCATCGATCAAGAGGTGGGATGTGTGTGTGTGTGTGTGTGTGTGTGTGTGTGTGTGTGAAACTCGGCTGCGTGGGCAGCGCCTGCTGGACACTTTGTGCTGTTGTTGTTTGTTGCCAGTGCCGTGTGATGTCGTGTGTTTTGTTGGAAGCGCTCGTTCCTCACGTGCACAACACCGCTTGCTTCCCATCCATATTCGCTTTATGGCAGGACGCGCATTTGATTGTCACCAAGGAGAAGCAGTATGCCATGTATGGCGTGTTTGACGGCCATGGTGGTACGTGCAAACCCCATTGGCCCCCCCCCCCTAACCCGACGCCGCCTTGATCGCCTTGATTTGATACTTGTGGAAATGGCACTTGCACACAATTGAGGGGTGACTCACGAGGGGATTCACGCCACTACGTGTGTGTGTGTGTGTGTGTGTGTGTGTGTGTGTGTGTGGTGTGTGTGTGTGTGTGTGTGTGTGTGTGTGTGTGTGTGTGCGTGCGTACGTGTGCAGGGCCGGAGGTATCTGCGTTGGTTGCGCGGCGGCTGTTGGAGTTTCTGAAGAGTCACCCGGAGTGGGATCGCAACAAGGAGGAGGCCGTGCGAGGGGCGTTCCGCAACATGGACAAATTCATCAATTCGCGCAAAGGCAGACGCGAGATGCGCACCTTGCTCCAGCTCAGTGCGTTGTTCACGTTTTGGTTTTTCGCACACGTGTGTGTGTGTGTGTGTGTGTGTGTGTGTGTGTGTTTTTGTGTGTGTGTGTGTGTGTGTGTGTGTGTGTGTGTGTGTGCGGGGGCGGGTTACTCTTTGTCTGCTGTGCTTTTGTTGTGAAATGACGGCACTCGCCGATCGATGGCACATCCCCCACGACTAACGCATCACCAAACGCACCATCACCATCACCGCCACCATGATCGTTGCTATATGCGCAGCGCCGGATGCGGTTGCGCCCATGGAGGAGGGCGAGCTTGATCTTCTTCAA